GGGGCGGCGGCAAAGGAAGTGACATCACTGAGCCTTGCCTCTCTAGGACGCCGCGATTGCTCTCCTCAACCCCTGAGGCGCCGCAGGAGGCGGAAGCCTGCAGGAGAGTTTGGCGGGGGAACAGCCAGACGTGCTCCGGGTTAGGGGGGGTGGTGTCTCCCCGGGTCCTATGCTCCCCAGCCGCATGCAAAGGAGGGGGAAGAGTCGGCCTGGAGGAGGCCCGGCAGGAGAGGAGAAAAGCCGGGCGAGGAGGAGGAGGCAGAACTCGCACCGGGCTCTCCGAGGGCCCGATCCTGTCTCCGGAGCGGGAGAGAAACGGAAGGAACGGCCTCTGTAGCTGCCTCCTTCCCGGCCATGCTCGGGGGGCCCTGGGCCTGCGCTGGGAGGAGCCGCTTGGGGCTGCGGGCAGGTTAGGGGAAGGGGGTCCAGGGGCTGAATCCCCTTTTCTGATCCTGGGCGTCGGTTTTTCCCTCCCTCCCAGATCCGGAACCTCGGAGCCCTCGGCCTTTGCAAGCCAGGATTTCCTCTCCGGGGGCAGCAAAAAAGGAAGGACCAGCAGGGATCTGTCCTGCGGACCAGAAACGGTCCTGTACAGGAAGAAGCCCCTGGAGACCCCCCCCCCCCCCAGAGTCCCTGGAGCCCTTTGGAGCTGCTTTGCCAAAGAGAAGAAGGATGGAGACCCCCCATTTGGCCAAAGAGGGGAGCAGAAATGGCCCCGCGGCTCTTCAGCCTGGGAGCTGTGGGGAGAGCTGGACCAGAACCGGGCAGAAGGTCCTGCGGGAGGGAACCATCCTCCCTTCAGAAGTTCCACCCTGGAGCTCCATCCAATACTGGGAGGCTGAGGGTCCCCGAGGACTTTGCAGCCGACTCCATGACTTGTGCAGGCGATGGCTGAGGCCAGGAAAGCACAGCAAAGCCCAGATGCTGGACCTGGTGGTTCTGGAGCGGCTCTTGGCTCTCCTGCCCCCAGAGATGGAGGGCTGGGTGCGGGAGTGTGGAGCAGAGACCAGTTCACAGGTGGTGGCCCTGGCGGAAGGCTTCCTCCTGAGCCAGGCAGAGGAGGAGAAGGAGCAAATGCAGCGGCAGGTGAGAGACTTTAGGGAGCTTGGAAAGGAATAATTAGTGAAAGTGTTTGAATGCTTCACCCCTCCTTCCCAAACTTCTCCCATGTTCATAACACGACAACATTCTCCAGTTCTTGTAGGTCATTGTTCCATTGTTTTCTCATTCAGCCACACGGATGGACATTGGAGGCTTTGAGGTTGTGTTCTGAATATAAGAAACCACTTTATGTCATGTGATGTATATTAATTCTGCTTCTTCCTTCCTCCTATTTGAAGTGCTGCACTGTGGAGATCAGAGATCCTGAGGGAAAGAAGAATCCATCAAATCCCCCTCAGGAGCTATTTTTCAGGAGGATCCATTGGGAAGATCAAAGCCAGGACACCTCAGGAGGTAATGGAAGATTCTCCAATTCCCCATCTGTCTTACCTTTGCTCTCTCTTCTCTTCTCTAGAATATCTCCTATTTTGTTAATTATGCATTTGGAAATTATTTATTCCTTACAGAAAAACAAAGAATGAAGCTTTCTGGTTTTTATGATGGAAATGAAACAGCGGTTGAACCTCCAAATCAAGTAAGAAAGGGAAAAGATTAGATTTCTATTCTCTCCTTAGTAAGTGAAGCGGATGTGTAGAGGGCTCTCTCTTTCTGTCCGTCCCCCCCACTTGTTTGGCCTGGATTATTTTTCGGTTCTTCCACAACATGGAGAGTAGAATAGCAGGTTCAAGTTGCTGTCAGCCAGCATAGCTTTCTCTGGTTATCTTGTTCTGCTAGGTACTCCTCCAACTTTGAATTTACAAGAACCAATTTTTCAAGGTCCTTCAAGAAATAGGAATAAACGTATCACAGTGGCAGGAACTGCTAGAGACCCTCTTTTTTTTTTTTTTTGTAATTCTTTTACTCGGAATTGTGCAAGGCTAATGAAAAACAAATACTCACATTGCCACATGACCATTTTTAGAAACTCCTCAGGGAAAGCTCGGATCCGAAAATCAAGTGGATTTTCAACGTATCCCACCCCGAAGAACATGAAAATGAGCTAAATTTTGAAATCCGAGCTCTGATTCAAAAGTTATATATTCCTGCTAAATTGAGTTCTACCTTTCATTTTGAGACATGCCTTGGGATAACTCCTCAGGGAAAGCTCGGATCCGAAAATCAAGTTTATTTTCAACGTTTCCCACCCCACAGAACATTTCCCACCCCTCATAAATAACCTGTATTTCAAAATAAGCAAATTGTATTAAAATGAAGCAGACTCTTAAAACCCATGGAGGTCTGGATTTGGAGTTACACTCAAAATTAAAGTGTTAAAAAACACTACAGGCTGATGCAACTTTGATGTAATGTCCTTAAAACAAGTCAAAAAGAGGCTCAGTAGTGTGTGTGTGGCCTCCACGCGCCTGTATGACCTCCCTGCAATGCCTGGGCATGCTCCTGATGAGGTGGCGGATGGTCTCCTGAGGGGTCTCCTCCCACACTTTGACTAAAGCACCCCCCAACTCCTGGACAGTCTGTGGTGCAACGTGGCGTTGGTGGATGGAGCGAGATATGATGTCCCAGATGTGCTCAATTGGATTCAGGTCTGGGGAACGGGCGGGCCAGTCCATCGCATCAATGCCTTCGTCTTGCAGGAACTGCTGACACACTTCAGCCACATGAGGTCTAGCATTGTCGTGCATTAGGAGGAACCCAGGGCCAACCGCACCAGCATATGGTCTCACAAGGGGTCTCAGTACCCAATGGCAGTCAGGCTACCTCTGGCGAGCACATGGAGGGCTGTGCGGCCACCCTAAAGAAATGCCATCCCACACCATTACTGACCCACTGCCAAACCTGTCATGCTGGAGGATGTTGCAGGCAGCAAAACGTTCTCCACAGTGTCTCCAGACCCTGTCACGTTTGTCACATGCTCAGTGTGAACCTGCTCTCATCTGTGAAGAGCACAGGGTGCCAGTGGTGAATTTGCCGATCTTGGTGTTCTCTGGCAAATGCCAAACATCCTGCATGGTGTTGGGCTGTAAGCACAATCCCCACCTGTGGACCTCGGGCTCTTGTACCACTCTCATGGAGTCTGCTTCTGACCGTTTGAGCAGCTACATGCACATTTGTGGCCCGCTGGAGGTCATTTTGCTGGGCTCTGGCAGTGCTTCTCCTGTCCCCCCTTGCACAAAGGTGGAGGTAGCACTCCTGATGCTGGATTGTTGCCCTCCTACGGCCTCCTCCACGTCTCCTGATGTACTGACCTGTCTCCTGGTAGCACCTCCATGCTCTGGACGCTACGCTGACAGATACAGCAAACCTTCTTGCCACAGCTTGCATTTATGTGCCATCCTGGATGAGCTGCATTACCTGAGCCATTTGTGTGGGTTATAGACTCCGTCTCATGCTACCACTAGAGTGACAGCACCGCTAGCATTCAAAAGTGACCAAACCATCAGCCAGAAAGCATAGGAACTGAGAAGTGGTCTGTGGTCACCACCTGCAGAACCACTCCTTTATTGGGGATGTCTTGATAATTGCCTATGCTTTCCACCTGTTGTCTATTCCATTTGCACAACAGCATGTGAAATTGATTGTCAATCAGTGTTGCTGCCTAAGTGGACAGTTTGATTTCACAGAAGAATGATTGACTTGGAGTTACATTGTGTTGTTTAAGTGTTCCCTTTATTTTTTTGAGCAGTGTAATTTTCAATCCTCTGATTTATGCCTCGATTCGGAGATCAAACATTCCCGCTTTCCAAAGGCTGAGAAATGACTTTCCCAGGGAATTTTCTCTTCTTTGTTTTCTTCCTTTCAGCCAGTGGCTCACACTACTAGATCAATGAATGATAGACAGAGCGATAGATCAGTTGATCCAGAAGTGGGATTACTTTGCTGAAAGGCACTGAAGGTTTTGCAGAATCAATGAACTTCATAAAACTTCCCCAAGTATTTCTCCAGTGAAAGCAATTTTCGGATTTGTCCATTTTCTCACCTACAATTACTTAGTGCATATCTTTGCTTGGGGAATTTGGGAACAATGAAACAGAATAACAGAGTTGGTAGGGATCTTGGAGGTCTTCTAGTCCAACCCTCTGCTCAGACAGGAAGCCCTATAACATTTCAGATAAATGGCTGTCCAGTCTCTTCATAAACACCTCCAGTGTTGGAGCAACCACAATTTCTGAGGCAAGTCATTCCACTGTCAGGAAATTTCTTTTTACTTTTAGGTTGGTTCTCTCCTTGAATCGTTTTTATCCATTGCTCCTTGGAACACTGCTATCATGTCACTCCCTAGTCATTCTTTTCATGAAACTAGAGATACCCAATTCCAGCAACCGTTCTTTA